ACATCCTCTGCCAACAAATTGCCACTACCCATCCAGTCCAGCTTGATGGCTGTCCAGCACAGCAGCTGACAGGCCATTGTCACAGAGGAGCCAATACTCAAGGCAATTGTGAAATCATCAATTGGTCCCTGGCTTGGAAGCAGACTGTTGGCCGCTGCAGCTGCTGAACAATGCTCGGGACTGTTGGCCTGTGTGACTGCACGTCCTGGTGTCCATTGGTGTGGCCAGTTGAAAAGCACTTCGAGGGGGTATTTGTCTGTCTCTGCACCTGAAGTCACCAAGAACCGCTGCATATTGTCTCTGATGCCATGCAGAGGTGGTGCACCTTTCACATGTGAAATCTCAGCAAGACCCAGCTGCCACAATCGAAGCTTGAAGACTGTGGGAGATGAAGATGGACCTACCCCAGTTTTGTAATTTTGCACATCAGGGTAGAACTGCTCATATTCTGTCGACGCAGAGAATCCCACACATTGGGAGCAGTCCAGGAAGAGGCCTCGAAGGGCCGCACCATGAAGTTCACGCTGCTCTTGAGTTGCAACCTTTCCAGAAAGCCACTCACAAACATCTGTGTAAAGAGCACGGCCATCAGGACCTTTGTGGTCAATCTCAGATTTCAGCAGTGCCATTGCCTCCTGAAAAAGTGTATGCATAGAAGCAGGTGCAACATTGGCATTCTCCTCTGCCATGCTGCCTGCAGGACAGTAGGACTGCCTGCCTGACACTGAGCAAAATGCTCTGCATTTCCAAGCAGTTCAAATCAACATCACAGCTTCACTGACTCTGGCAACAAGAAAATGCAAAGCAGTGCACAGTTTGGCATTGTTGGTCTTTTCACACGGTGTACACCACTTTCACTTCATCCCAGTGAGACACATGCTGTGCTTGGCCACAATACCTCACCAAAGTAACCACAAGAATTATGCAACAACTTGCTACAGTACACAGGACTTTCAATCATGGTGAAGTATCTTCAATCATGGTGAAGTATTTCTAGGGCCCCCTGCCTACCAACTGTTGCTATCCAACAGCCACAGGTCAAGGTTCAGGAAACACAGCAAATGATCAAATTATTCTGTACCTAAGCCTCTCACACAAGACATCTACAGTCTCTGGACTGTCTGACTGTGAGACCGAGAGGCAAACACAGATTCCCCATGAAAAGTGCTCAGCAACTTCATGCCGACACACATGGTCAGACTGCAAACTTCCACACTGTTGTACATAAAGAGCAACAAAACTGCATGGCCCCAGGCTGCAATCAAAGCTGGTAGCTGACTGTTAGCCTGTGCGACTGCCGGACGGCCCAAAGACCCTGCTCAATCTTCTTGCTGACTTTTGGCCTCTGGGACTGCTCAAAGACCCTTCTGAATCTTCCTGTCGTCGAGCTCTTCCTGGAAGAACATCCGAGCATCCTCTGCAGTACGTGTCGGAGTGAAGACAGAGTACCAGAGACGCTCATTGGCCTCACTCCAGTCACTCTTTTGGATCATCTTGTAGAAGGACATGCGCTTGACCAGCCAAGTCCTCAAGCCTTTGTCAGAGCGCTTCGCTTCTGGACGGCGCCGCCCAGCAAAGGTGCTCTTCTTCGGCCACGAACTGTGCTTTTTGGAGTCAAGACTCTCATTGTCGGAGTCAGTCTCACCGTCATCATCGTCGTCCTTGGCATTCTCGTCCTTGGCCTCCTCGTCCTTGGCAACCTCGTCCTTTGCATCCTTAGCCTTCTTGTTGTGATCATCCCGGGAGTGTGCGACTGCAGGACTGTGGGACTGCAAGCCTGCATCTGGGGTCTGTGGGGCTGCTGCTGGGCTTTGGAGCTCAGCAGGTGTGCCAGAGGATGCAAATTCGACACTCTCAAACGCATCGAGCTCCTGCATGGTTGGGTTTCTCAGATCGGCATCAGGATCTGCACATCGTGCAGCAGGACGCTTGTTCGTGCTCTTTGCTGCTGCAGGCCTCTTCATGGTAGAAGCAGGGCGCTTCTTAGGTGCAGCCTTGGCCTTGGCCTCTGGAGCTGTCGGACTGCTGGACTGCTTGCCAGAGCCCTTGCCACCCTTGCCACGGCCTTTGCCACCCTTGCCACGGCCTTTGCCACCCTTGCCACCACCTTTGCCACCCTTGCCACCCTTGCCACCACCTTTACCGCCCTTGCCACGACCCCCCTTGCCATGACGAGCCTGTGCTAAAGCAGCAGCCTTTGCCTTGGCTTCTGCTTTGATCTTGTTCCTCTCTTCTCTGGCTGCTGATTTCCCATAATCCACACTCAGGCCATGAGTGGGGTCGGACAGTGGGCCTGCTGTGTCACGAGCAGACTCTGGGCCTGTCGGACTGTCAGACTGCAGGCCTGTCGGACTGTCAGACTGTTGGCCTGTCTGACTGTCAGACTGTGGGCCTGTCGAACTGTCAAGCTTGCCCATGGCCTTCAATTTGCTGGTCTCTCCAGCAGTCAGCTTCCCATCAAGTTCGACGCACAGAACCTTTTTAGACACCACAGCCACCGACTTCTGTTCTGCTTCCCGTTCCTTCCTCAGCTCAGCTGGGGACGGGATAGGATCCTGGAAAAGAGCTTTGCGAGGATTTGGTGAAGGAGTGACGACTGATGACGAGCTCAAACTTCGCAAAACAGACGGGTGCTCTTCTACTGATGCTTCTGACTCCTGGCTGAGGGGCACCACATCAGCCATACAACCACCAAACATGGCCGGAAACTACTACAGTGTAGAGAGCTACAGTCAAGGGGAACAAATCTACCAAAAAGTGTCTGCAGGGGCACCATCACAATGCATGAGAGAGTGGCAGCCAAGTGCAAGAACTGCTTGGCACAGTATCATTTTTGCACATCACAGACAAATCACATAATGCTGCAGAAGCCAAAATTCTATGAGGCCCATGGGTCCGATTCAGAACCACATGTCTCAATGCCGAGCTGGGCAGACTTAGTCTGAAGCCGTTTCTGCATCTTGGTT